CAATAGATGTCACTAAATTCTACAAACTGAGCCTTTAACAAATTTGGTCACAGCTATGAGTGGGTGGAAATTGCTGGATCATCAGCATGGAGAGTGGAGCTGCTGAATAAAAAGGTGGATGGTGTTACGAAACAAACAGTAGCACTCATCCCCTCCTGCTGTGTCTCTCCCAAGGCCACGACTTATGACTCATTCACAGACCGAGCGAGTCAGGGGGAACAAAGTGAGATTTCAAGCAAAGATCAAAATTAACGGAATCACAAGGTCCCGCTCCCTTTTTTTATTCCCTGTACACTGTACAGCTTCTAAACTGCTTAGTATGAAATCTGTCTGAATGTGCAGTTTTAGAAAAGTGCTGCTGCTGTTGTCCAAAGTGCTGCCTCACGATCAATATCAAGAAAAAGAGCAGAGCAAAAAACCACAGTATCATCTGTTATTTCTGCGTTTGTGCTGGTGAAGGTGGGTGGATGGGTGAGGCGGACAGGCAGGGAGTCTGCCTCTGGCCAACATGTTGCAAAACAGTGAGCTGCAACAACACTGTCAGTCGTGAAGGTGGTGGTGGTGGTGTAACCCATTTAGATAAAGCCTTGCAGGGACACAGAGAAGGGCTGTCTCCATAACAAGGCCACAAAATGGGACGTTCATCATCCATCGTTTCACCGTTTGACACATTCAGGTGATGTTACTTTGTGCCAGTACTTATTCTTCTATTAACTTCCCTACTTTATATTAAAAACTTACATTTTCTCTGTTTCCATCATTTGTGATTTTCATTTAAACATGTTTTTTCTCTGTTCTGTTCGTATCCTCCTTTCAAATTTCTTCTCCACTTACATCGAAAATGCCCCTCCACATTTTAAAAATTGCTGTAACCACCACAAGACATAAACAAAAGAAGTGAATCTAGCGTAAGTCCTGCATAATCAATGTTAATATAAACATACTCTCAGCAAAATGTATTTAATAAGCACATAATGAAGAAAAATGGAAATAGTGAGTCTAAACATAATACAAAACATTAATGGATCATTAAGCGTAAGTTTGTTTTACTACTGAGGTAGTTGCTGGTAGATGCTATAGTTTAATCTGGGACTACAATGTACATTTCCTGAATTTGCCAACTTTCTTAAATTATTGTTTATCAATTTTGTCAATAAAATCTCAGAGAATACCGAAACATGCCAGTAATAATTTGCCACAGCCCAAGTTATTATCATGGATGACAAACATAAGAAAAACACAAGATTCTAACATTTGTTTCATATTTTAGCTTGAAATTGATAAATATCTATTTGGAATGTTGCCACTGTAGTTAAAGCCAAAGGTGTATTACATATATTATCATGTGTTTTGTTATGAAATATTCAAGTGCAATTACCTCAAAGTTGTATTTAAGTAAAGTAATTATAAATGCATGTATTATGTCGCCCACTACAAAGCAAACAAATGAAAAAGCTTCATCATCACAACACAGTCAAGACGATAAGAAAACACTCAAGTGCAAACACACAATGCTCAATCAACAAGGGGTATGAAAAGAAAGACGCACACACACTTACTCTCACAAGTGTCTGTGATGCTGCTTGTTGCTCTCCCAACATACATCAGAGCCACAGACAACCGACCAATCAAACCTCCGCTCCTCACTCATAACCACGGTGCCCAAACGTCTGCCCAGCAGATCCCTGGGTGACCAGGTGGAGCTGCACAACAAAGACCTGCAGCCGGATCCCAACACACCAGTCTGACAGTGACACAACGCTGTGTCAACATTTATTCACATGATCATCTAAAATTTCTGAAAACAGTCTCTATCTTTCTTTAAATATTAACGGCCATTAGGTCAGTGACTCGGATTTTAGGTAATTAATGAAAACCGTCTTCAAGACAAGACTTTGAATATGATATAACATGTCTATTAGGAGGGGGAGGGGATTAAGCAAAACTAATTAAGATATGGAGAGATGGAATGGGAGATTATCACAGCATCATTTACTGTATGAACTGTAAATACAGAATATTATGATGCTTTTATTTGTCTTTTGTTGAAAAGACCTTGATCTAATTAGACTACCTGGTTATATACTGTATATATACTTAAGTATGAAGGTAAAACACAACAGTTTATCTATCACAGTGAGTCAAAGGGTTTTTTGTGCTTTGGTAGAACTAATTGCTAGAATTCTCCGCAGAAATTCAAAGCTGTGGTAAAGATTTGGGAATTTACTAGCTTAGATTCTTATCCATCAATCAGTCAATCTGATACTGATTGGATTTTGTTTTGTTCTTTTAGTTTACTGTACTTTGTGCTGTATTCTCTCAAATATTTGGGATTTAGGCCAAGTTTAATTTGTATTATTCATTTGGGCTCAAAAGATGTGAACTAAAATATCTTTTAATTAGTTTTGTTACAACATGGTTACCTGAACAACAACAACCTGAAGACTAAGTTGAGTCTGCCAAGTTAGAAAGGCTTTCTTTATTTTTGTCATTGACATAATGCTGCAAGAACAAATTCTATTTAGAATGTGTACCGTGCCAGTATTGGTGGAGTACAAATACTCCAAATGTACATTAATCCATAATGGTCTCCAATAAATGTGCAGTTCACTGTTGTGTGAGTCATTTTGATTTTAGGAGCTGAAATGAAAAACAAAACTATATATTTGTGATACACATTTTCAGGGTCAGAGACAGACGGACCTATTGTTTGCTCGTGTGTTCATTGAAATTGCTGACGTTGTTTTGAATGATGCTAGCAACAGGAGTAAAGGCTCACGTAACACCTAAGAGTCAGGTTTAAGAGAGGTTTCTTTGTGTGTGTACATGTGTGTGAGTGCGCATGTGCACACGCTCTTGCTGGAAGCAGCAGCGAGCGGCGGGTATGAGCAGTATTAATACAACAGCAGGGAAAAGGCCCAGTCATGGTTGCCATGGTAAATATGGCCCCCTGTCGCGTGCTAGCAGTCCCTTACTCCCCCTCCTCCCCCCTCTGCTGCTTTCCACTGCTTCTCCTCCATACTGGTTTTTCCCCTAATACCAATCTGACTTATTTCTCTGCTCCTGAATTTTTTTTTCTTTTTTACCATATCTGCTCCCTCCTTCCTCTTCCTTCCCTACTTCCCCCCTTCTTTCTCCCTTATTTCACTCCCCCTTCCCCCAATTTTTTGCCTTCCCTCCCCCATCTTTTCTACACGCCACAGTGGCCTCCCTGCAGGCTCCAGACAGGCTCAGAAATGCTGCACAGAACGAGTCGACCTTCAGTGCAGCGCCTGGCCCTTCAGCGAGACACAACATCACTACTGCCCCCATCGTGCCACACTCGTAACCCAAAAATCTCAGAGTTCACATAGGTAGCTGTGTGACATAACTACTGTAGTGCCTGCATGCGCCATACATCATCATCATCATCATCATGTTCCTCCTCTGGATGTAAACATACATCACAATCTGAGCTCATGCTATGACCATAAGATTTTACAGCTGAGTAAAGACCATAAATATTTATCAGTTTACAATAACTTAAACAATAATGTCTGTTTTTATTACTACAGTAAATACATTTTTGTGGTATAAATGTGATAATTATAAATTTCTCTCTGATTACTCTGAAATACTTGTGATGTTAAGTGAAAATGAAGCTTTACTTCCCATCTTAATGAACAGTACGTGAATGTGGTGCATATCTAAGATAAACAGCAGGTCTTATTACCTCAACCCTGTGTCATGACATAATAAATAGAAATGTTCATCCTTGACCTCGGAAGATGTTGTTGGGCCCCTGGCTCATTATTTCCCCTGACACCCAGAAACCAATCAGCTTGCATAAATGACTGATTCATTGTTGAGCTGAGTGACAGAAACTAATTGGCGACAAGTCTTAGGACTTACTAATCATGTCTTTTTTAAATATAGAAATTGACTTATTTGCTATTTCGCCCTATTTTGTGTGACAGTGAACACAACATCTTTGTGTTTCTGATAGATAGAACAAGCTGTTGTAAACTTGGGCTTCAGGAGAATAAAGATTTTTCCACCTAATTGACACTGAGCACCAAATCGATTGAAAAAAATAATTGTCCAACCTAGTGGAAATGATAAATACTGTTTGTATTAGCTGCAGCGTTACAGTTTACTGACAAATAGAAAGAATTTGAGGCAATAATAGGACACTTGATGATTTTGGTGGTCCTTTTAAACTATTGGTTGATTACTCGATAAGTCATTCAACCCTTTCCACAATGTTTCAAGCACAAATGCAACCATGTGGTTTTATAGCTTTATTCATTTGTTCAGTTTGTTTTATCAATTTAAAATCTTTAGTTGGTCAAATAAAACATGATGTTTTTGTGATTAATTGTGGTGATTTGCTCTTCACAATTAAAGATTGAGCACAAATCTATCACCAGCAAAAAAATTGTTTACGGCAGTCAGTCTTTTCTAACACAAAGTATCTGCAGAGTGGGGCCAGCAGACAGAACCTTACATCACCCTTTTTGGCTGCTGACGTTACAACACACAACAGTCTTGGCTCAGACATAATGAAAATGTATTTATTTCACATTTCATGACTCTTTTGTCCCTTAGTTTATTTTTGTTATGTATTATCTTAGTCTCAAACTTGCACAGCAGTGGGCAAAGCTTTCACTTGAAAGAATCAGTAAATGACTGGAAATGTGTGCATTGAAGAAACCCAATGAGAGGCTGTGGGAGAGCCTGGAATAGGCATGGCAAAAACAAGATGTGCTCATTTCATTTGTGACATTTCTCTCATGTCTGGCCTCACTATAGGCTACATGATGCTCTAATGTGGTCAGACAGTGCAATGTCTCCCCTCATGAAATCTGCAGATCTATCTCTACGTCTCTTGCAGATTGTTGTTCCACCTGCCTCTGAGCTCTAGCACCTGCAGGCGAACCGGAACGAACCGTGTCAGCAGCACCAGGGCTCCAGAGGTGTGGGTGTTTATGGTGGGGGTGCACACCGGGTATGCGGCTCACCTGTCAAGCTGTCGTAGCACTCGATCTCGGTGCTCTCCACGGCTCTCCGCTGCTCCTCGGTCAGCTTGGCGGCGGCTTGGCTCAGCAGGTTGACCTCGGAGCACGTCGTCCCGTCCACGACGTGCACCCCCTTCAGCTGCAGCAGCGCCCGGTGGTACTTGCCTATCGCCTCCCGGAATTTCTTCTCCTTGTAGCAGCGGTGACCCTCCACCTTGAAGTCGATGGCTTTCTGGATCTTCGCCTCCATCTCCATCTCAGCCGAGCCGGCTCGGTGCCCAGCGCCGCCTGCTCCGTCTCCCCCCGCGGCGGCTGCTGCCAGGCTCCGGCCGCCGGTCTCCGGGTAGCTCTTCAGGCTCTTTATCTGGTGCTGCTTCGCCTCCATGTCTCTCAGTGAAAGCGCCTGGAGTGGACCATGGTGCTCGGGCACGAAGGTGTGTTTCGTCGGGGAGGACCGGAGCAGCGTGCTGTGCATAAAGGATGGAGGGACGGAGCGGCGAGCACGGCGGGGCAGGCAGCGGCGGCACCGGGTAGACGACGAGCCTCGAGAAAACGGCTCCGGGAAGATCTCCGGTCCGAAGCCCGTGCTTTAAGAACGACTATAAAATAAAAGTGAGGGATATTAGTGGTTATAAACAGGTAAACAAGGTTTGAGGAGCGGACAGAAACATGCTGAGTCTCCTCATCATCACAAGCAGCAGAGGAGGAGGAGGAAACAGACTGCTCGCGCTGCTCGTCTCGCGGAGGGATGCTGGGTGGATTTCTATGGCAGCGGCAGCCTCCGAGGCACGCGCAGCATCAGCACCACACACATAGCCCCCCCTGACTGCAAAGCATTGTGGGAAAGAAAAGAGAAGTCGTGAGGCGTTGCTGCAGTCCAGATTTTAAAATCGCAAAAACACGACAAATCACACACACGCAGGAATGTCAGGAAACAACTGAAAACCACGTCATTCCTTAATCCATTAAAAGTAAACAAACAGGTGGATTACAAGTTGTACTTGTGTTCACATAAATACAAAGATTTGCACATGTATTAGTCTATAAAACAGATTTCTCCCTGACGTCAGCAATATAGTTCCCTTATATTCACTACATTTTAAAACACAGCTGCAGCTTCACTGAATAACCTCAGGCCTGTGAGAGATGACGTCACTCCCGCTGTTTGTAAGTCAGTCCTCATCGGGACATTAAAAAAAAGAATCGGACTTTTTCAGGCTGTGATTCAGCTCTGACTTCAGCTGGTGTTCACATTACAGACTTCAGATGAGTTGAGGAGGTCTTTAGCTGAGGATGGAGGCGGACAGCAGGAGGCTGCAGGGACAAGAGCAGGAGGAGAGAGAGGGCGTCCTCGTCAGGACAGAGCGTCAATTACACCGTTTAGAAAATGCACTCATCTACTCACCACTATGCCGACGGAAGGGTGGGTCAACTCCAAAAGTGTTTTCTGGACACACTTTTGGAGTTTTTAGGGGTAAACAGTGTTGCAGACAAATCCTATACAATTGAAGTAAATGGTGAACACTTCGCTGGCTATTTAGTGTACATAATGATTATTAAAGTAAAGCAGGCTAAATGAAGATGTTGAATAATTGTGGTGGAGTTAAAAGTACAACTCCCTTAGAAATGATAAACAGTGGGAAGAAAAATGAAAGTCACATGAAAAGACAAGTATATCATATTTGTATTTAAATACAGTTCTTGAGTAAATATACTGTACCTTCCACCACTCACCGCCCAGCACTATGACCATTTCTTCACTGATTATGAATTCTTCTCTCCATTCTCTCAGGTCGCCGCTTCATTTCCCTTTAAAAGCTTTAAAAGATTTAAAAGCAGCACACACATGCACAGACTGGTGCCTGACACAAGCTTGTTCCATGAGAAGTCGTCCTGGGTGAGTCTTCATTGCCACCTCCAACTAGCACACAAATAAATCTTCACTATAAACGCTGGTGTTGGAGAACAGCCTAACAGGTAAACACTTTTACACCCATTCTCTTCTCATGTCAGGGCTGGTGATAACACGTTAGAGCTGACTTGAGTGACATTTGATCATAAATGACATTAAAGCCATAGCTCACCTTCCCTTCAAGTCCTGGAGTCAAACACGATGTCCTGAATTGTGTTGAACCTTCTGCGGAGGTGGCTCAGTGAGAACCTGCAGGTGAACCAGGGAAAGGGGACTGGCAGAGCTGAGGTTGACCAATCAACTCTCACTGGATTCAAAAGGCAGCAGCAGAGCAGCCAGAGAGAGACAGAGCTGTGCTGATCTGCAAAGCTGTACATCAGCAGAAATTGCTGGAGTTTGATTTATGCTTTCTCTCTGTGTTACAAGAATAAAAGTAAGTATGCTGAAAAGCAAATGGTTTATCTATGGCTATTGCGGCGGGACCCCAGTAGTATCATCATATTCCACACTTTCAGTATCTCTAAATGTAAAGACATTAACATTTTCAATTGTACTGATAAGATCAAACTCATTGGGATCATGATTCGATCAGCCATCATGTTTGGACCCTTTTCCTTTTTTATTTTCCAAGCACAATTTCTCCAAATAGAAGTTTTCCCCCATCAATATCATTTAAAAACAAATAACTCATGGTGTTTTACATTGTTTCTTAAAACAATAAAAATTCTTAAAAGTGATTTTAAAATATTAACAGTGTAACAAAGTTCTGGTGCGAAGGACCGTACAGTACACACGTGTTAATGAGGCTTAACGGGTGGGGTGAACTACCAACTGGAGCTGCAGTGCAGAGGCCCCAACATCAGGCCTGATGGCATCTCTGAGTTTCTTTACATGGATACATGATACAGACACATGTACATAAAAAATAAGCAGCAGAGCAGGTTCTGTACTTTGTGAAATCAACATGACCTAACAAGTCTATACATTGCATTTCAAAATAATCAATTTTCTAGTGATCCAGCTATCAAGTCGGTGGTATCAGAAAGAGTTCCTTACAGTGGTAGAAAAGTTGACTTGGGCATCTTCAGCTCAAAGGTGAGAACTTCTACTCCACAAATTGAAGACGAAGAAGAGAACGAGGTGTGGTGTGTTCGAAGAGGTCGTTCTGTGTAGCCATTTGGATTTTCTTTTCTGCTCACAAGTCCAGGACCAAAGCTCGGCAGCATATTATCTACACATTTTCTACTTTTAAACATGATGCAGGAGGCAATTCTCACGTAAAGGTAACAAGAAAAGAAGGATTTCATCATCACCCCATTTCCTGTGTTTTTTAACTTGTGAAAAAATAAATCTGTTCCTTAAACTTAAGATCGTTTTCCAAAAACATTTCACTTTCAGGTGAATAAAAAGTTAAACACAGTGATCGCAGAATTCATCTTGAGGGACAAGCAATATTTTTTTTCAGCTACTCAATAGTTTTCATTCAAGAGTAAATCTCAGGGAAGGTGAGGCAGCAGCATCCTTACATATGGAGTTACAGGGTCAAATAAAAAAACAAACACCATTATGGCAGCTTGGCTGACGTCATGCTCATGCGTTTAGCTCACAAATACAGTTAAATATACATACATGAGCAATGTAACACAGAAAACATTGAGTCCTTAAATTAAAAGCTTGGACAGTAGAGGGTGATTTTTTTTACGATGGTAGAATAAAATATAAAAAAAACTAAACTGTATTTTTTTTAACTAAGAGATACCTTAAAGTCATTTCACTTGTCCACACACTCTGAACAAAAACACTCCAGTTAATAGAAATCTGCAGTCCTGCATGTTCCCAGGATAAATGCAAAAACGTGGTGATACAAATTGTATAAAGGGATAGAAAGAGTTTGTATATGTATTTGTTAGGTTCTCTTATTGCCCAGTCTCTTAAAAACACTCACAGCCTGGATGTCCATGCGGGCCCCCAAGGACTCTGCTCCTCCTCCTCCCACTACTCCTCCTGCTGTGGTCCCGGTGCTGCTGCTGACTTTGGGGCTCGCTATGGTCTGTCTCTCCAGGGTTCTGGGCCTGGTGCTGGTCACTCTGTTGTCCTGTGTGTCAGCTGACGTGGGCAACGCGGCCGTGGTTGTGGCTGGGAGCTTGCCCAGTCTCTTAAGCACACTGATTTTGGCAGCAGGGAGGCCATTAGGGGAAGAAGAGGAGGGAGTGGGAGTGTCAGTGGGAGGTAGTTTGAATTTTCCTCCCAGTCGCCGCAGGGTGGTTGGGGCAGGTTTTGGGGTCAGCTCTTTCTTCTGAGAGGGAGGTAGTTTCTTGAGGACGCCAGCGTACTGAAGAACAGAGCCCTCTCCATCACTGTCATCCTGCTCGTCTATATCCATCTTCCCTGCCCTCGGTGGGACTTCCACTTTGTTCGCTTGGTCCAGACGACTGAACACACCAGTGGGCTGCAAAAACACGAGCATTAAGAGCACAGAACTTATGTTTAAAACACACAATGAAATAATGAGGCTCACCGACAGGTCTCACCTTGTTATTGCTTGTTGGTATGTCTGCTTTTGATTCAGCTCCAAGTCTTGCAAATACAGATGTGCGTTTCAAACCTTTTAACGAAAAAAAGCAAAAGGCAATGAGAATTATTGTTTGAAAAAATGTAACACGACAGCAATGGTTTGGTCCATGTGATGACATCATTAGTGAAGGACAAATAGCCAGCACATTGTTTTATTATTTATAATGATTATACCAGAAGATACTTCTGTGCCTCACCAGCAGTAGTTGAAGACCAAACTACTGAGTGCTGCAGTGTGCAAAGTCTTTTTGTCCAACATTTAACATGTTTAATAAAATGTGTTGACTGACTCTAAATTGATCAAATATTAAAGTAATGCTTTAGTTTTACACTTGTCACAATACTTATGTATTTCCACAAGCGTATGTCTGCCTTAAAGCTCCAGTGTGTAAAATTTAGGTGAAGGGGAACTATTTGCAGTAATTTAATGTAGAATAATCCTCATGATGTTTTCACTTGTTCGTTTCATCTAAATTGTATGAATTGTATTTTTCTTTACCCCAGAAAAGGCCCTTTAAATTTAAATACTTTACATTTACATGCAGGAGACCCTCTCTACGGAGGCTGCCATGTTTTTTACATTAGTCCAGACAGGAAAAACTAAACACCTTTTGAGTTTTTATGACAATTAAAGGCTACCACAGGTTCTTTTTCATGTTTGGAAGGAGAGGGTGAGGTGAGGGGTGTTAAGCTGCAACATGCAACTTCAACACTAGATATCACAAAATTCTACACAATGTACCTTTAATTGATTAAGTCTTCAAATTCTGACCAGACAAAATGGTAAAGTCATGAAATACATGTATCATATGCAACAGCTGCATTATATTAATGTTATTAATTATATTCTTCCTAACATCTGTCATTGACACTGTATGCACACATTGTGCTGAGAAAAATGGCTTTTATTTTGTAACTTATTATTATAACCAGAGGTCCAAGTTTCTTCTGCTTGTGGTTTCCAATGAAAGAAAATGTTTTTAAAAACCAGAGTGACAGAAGCCAACCCGACTGCCCCCTTCAAGGAAAAAAACCATGAACAGCTTTAAGTGTTAGGGGAATTCATGCCATGGGAAAAAGACCATAATTGGAGAGTTTAGGGTAAAATCAACATGATGTGAGTCAATGAAAACACAAGCACAGTTTCCAACATGCACTGGACACAGCAATTCCTCTGTATTTTACTTGGAGGTCACGACTGCAAACGGCTTTAGACAAAGAGAATGAATTGGGGTAGTGGGTGGTATTAGTAGGACAAGGGATTAAAATATGAGAGAAATCAATGAAGGTTAAACAGATTCAGTTTGTCAACC